GAGCCGCCGAGCCGCCCCCAGCAACCCGAGCCGCCCGAGACGCCGCCCGAGCCGCCGAGCCCCGAGCCGCCCGAGCCGCCGCCGAGCCGCCCCAGCCGCCGAGCCCGCCCGAGCCGTGCTGCTGTTCCTGAGCTGTGTTCCTCTGCTGCTGACCTACCCGACTCTCCCAGCCCGGTGAGACTTTCAGCTGCTGCCATGGCCACCCCCATGTTCTTACTTTTGACGCTGAGGGGAGGGCCATTGACTTTGCCGTCTGGATTGAAGACCTGCAGCTGTACTTACTGTGTGATGCGATAGATGAGGTCTCTCTCTTTGACTTTGTCTCTGGCGCTGTCCCTGCCCCACCTGCTGATGCTGACTCTGCCGTTCGCGTCCAAGTGGGCGACCCGCGATGCTGCTGCACGTCTTGCTGTGCGTCGCCACCTCCCTTCCTCTGAGCGTGCCCACTTTAGTCAGTGCAAGACCGCTCAGGCTTGTACGACGCTGTAGTTGCACGCTACTCTCTCCCCTTCCTCCGCTACCCTTAGCCGCCTCATGCTACCGTTTCTCTTCCCTGACCTCGCTTCCTTTCCCACTGTCGCTGACCTCGTTACCCACCTCCGTGCTAGTGACACCCGCTACCCGACCGCGCCTTCCTGCTGAGTTCCGCGCTGCGAACCCTCCTCCCATGTACATCACTCTCTACTTTCTCGTCACCCGTCTCCTGAGTCCCTTCGTGTCGTTAGGGACCAGTTCTCTCTGTCTGTCCCACCACTCTCACTGTCGACCTCCTTGAGGAGTCCCTGCTAGCGGCTGAGAAGAGTATTGTCGCTGTAGGGCCTCTCGGGGTGACCCTCGCACCCCCATCTTGAGGGGTGTGGTCCTTCCCCCCTGCTGCCCTCTGTCGCCTCTGCCGCTGCGGCCGACCTCACTGTTTTTGAGTCGGTCGGCGCGGCGTCTGCCCCCAGCGGCAGACGCCGCTCTGGCAAGGGCAAAGGGGGCAAGGAGCGGGTGGAGCTAGAGGGGGCGGTGGAGGAGGCGGGGGGGGTGGCGGGGGGAGTGGGGGTGGCGGTGGGAGTGGTGGCGGGAGTGGAGGTACTGGTGGCGGCGGTGGAGGCGGAGGTGGCGGCGGAGGTTGGTAGCGGAGGAGGCGGTGTGGGAGCGGTGGGAGCGACGGTCCTGGTGGGGGAGTGGCGGTGGAGACGGGGGTGGCGGTGGAGGCGGGGTGGCGGTGGAGGCGGGGTCGGAGTGGCTCGTCCCAGCGGAGCAGCTCTGGGGGTGGTCAGCGCCAGCAGCAGCAGCAGCAGCAGCCGCAGCAGCAGCCACAGCAGCAGCAGCGCTCTCCGCACCGTCCCCGGCCCTCAGCAGCTCCGTGAGTGGTACTTGCAGCGTCAGCGTGGTGGTGCGCTTGGTCCCTGCCCCTACGTTCTTCGACCGGTGACCGTGCAGGGGAGAGGTGTGGAGGCGCCCACACAGCCCGCCGCTGCTTTGGCCGCCTGACCGACGCCTGGCGTCAGCAGTTTCCGGAGGCCGCTGAGATCCCCCCGCATGGGGAGAGCTGTCTAGGGCTGGTGTAGCTATTTAATGATATTGATTTTGATGCTATTCTCTCTGCTCATGTATATCTGTGACTGGTAGTGATGAGGGATGACTGTTACAGTGTTTACCCCGATTCCCGGGCATTGGTACGCCGATTGGTACTGTCCGCGTCAGTGTACTAGGAGGGCTGCTGCTCTAGGGTTGCCAGTTGCGTCTGTGCTCTCAGGTGCTGGTGAGTCTGCCCTCTCAGGTACTGTTGTCGGCTTCGGCCGCTCACAATCCTTCACACCTTGACTAGATGGAGCCGTCTCGCTCCTTCTTAGGGACCCGCACCCACTCTCCTCGACGCAGCTGAGTCGGACCGGTTGCGGTGTCCCTGGCTGACCCCCTCGTGGGGGTGCCTGTCCTGTCTCGCTTCTCCACTGTTCCTCCCGTGTCCCGGCGAGCGCCCCTCTGGCACCCGTGACTGGTCTCTACCTCCCCTCGTTCTCGGACGAACTTGGTGAGTGGAGCTGACCTCCAGGATGCGGGTGTCCACCAGTTCACCCCTGCTCGTCAGCGGGTGACCCACTGCACGGAGGCGGATACAGGTTGCCACCTGGCTACGTTTACACGTCGGCCCGGGTCGAGCCTGTACACACTGACCACTACTTCTCCTCCAGGTGCTGAGTCTGGTAGGGTCCTTTCGTCTGGTCAGGTGTTTGCTGCAGCGTCCAGGTTCTGGTCCTGAGTCTGCCCCTGCTCGTGTCGTCGTCTGTCTCACGAGACACTCCTCTGGCACCACCAGCCTTGGCCACCCCTCTCTGCTTCGGCTCAGAGGCAATGGCCTCGCGAGTCCTTGTGTCTGGTCTTCCCCGGTCTCGTCCCTCCCCTTCCTCCGGGCCCTGGCCCTACCTGTGTTCCCCTGTGTCGAGGGGGCGCCAGCGTGCTGCCCCTCACTCCTTCCCAGTTTCCTCCGACAGAGGCCCCGTTGCAGACGCTTCACATGGACGTGTGGGGCCCAGCCCGCGTCCGTGGACAGGGTCAGGAGCGCTACTTTCCTGCTGGTGGTTGACGACTAGCTCGCGTTACACCACAGTCTTCCCCTTGCGCAGCAAAGGGTGAGGTCACTGAGGTGTTTGATCGACTGATCCGCGCAGCTCGTCTCCAGCTTCGGAGGAAGCTTTGGCTCTGACTTCCCTGTTTTGCGTCTGCACTCGGACAAAGGCGGGGAGTTCTCCTCTGGACTCCTGAGTGCCTACTGTCGTGCGCGAGGCATCCGTCAGACCTTCCACGCTTCCGGACTCACCACAGCAGAATGGGATTGCTGAGCGCCGCATTGCCATGGTCATGGACGTCGCTCGTACGTCCATGATGCATGCGGCTGCTCCCCATTTTCTGTGGCCGTTTGCGGTCAGGTACGCTGCGCACCAGATCAACCTCCACCCCAGGGTCTCTCGACCGAGACCTCCCCAGCCCTGTCTGTGGACGGGGAAGGTTGGCGATGCGTCGGCGTTCCGGGTCTGGGATCTCGGGCGTTTGTTCGCGACCTGTCTGCGGACAAGCTGTCCCCCTCGTGCTTCTCCCTGCGTCTTCCTGGGGTTCCCCCCGACGCTCCTGGTGGCAGTTTTACCACCCCACCTCTCGACGTGTTCTGTCCTCCCAGGACGTCACGTTCGACTGAGTCGGTACCCTACTACCGCCTCTTCCCCTACCGCACTCCGTCCTCCCCCAACCCCGCTCTTCTTGGTGCCAGGTCCCCCCCCCGGTAGTCCTCACTCCCCCCTCAGAGGTCCTGCCCCTTCAGGTGTGTCCCAGGTAGACGCGGTCGAGCCTGGTCGAGTCAACTGGTGACTCTGGTGCTGCTGGGGGAGCTGAGCCTGGGGGTGCGGAGTCTGGGGGTGCTGAGCCTGGGGGTGCTGTGCCTGGGGGTGCTGAGCCTGGAGGTGCGAGTCCTGGGGGTGCTGTGCCTAGGGGGTGCTGAGCCTGGGGGTGGCTGTGCCTGGGGGTGCTGGCCTGGCAGGTGCCGAGTCTGGGGGGTGCTGAGCCTGGGGTGCTGAGCCTGGAGGTGCTACACGCCTGGGGGTGCTGCTGTCTAGGGGTGCTGAGCCTGGGGTGCTGAGCCTGGAGGTACGGTGCCTGGGGTGCTTCGTCGTCTCTCGGGAGCCACTCTCCCCACAGAGCTGCGTGAGTGGTTTGCCCGGCGCTGGAGGCGTGCTGCTGGTGCTGGTGGTTCTTCGGCTGCAGAGGGTACTGCTGCCGCGCGTCCCCGTCGGTGCTCGTACTAAGGGTGCTGAGCTGCTGGTCTGAGAGTTTCTCCTGGAGCTGGTACTGCTGAGAGTGTTGGCGCTGAGCCTGCCGTTGGCGGTCCGACAGACAGTGCTCCTGGTGCTGCTCGCTGGAGGTTCTGGTGCTTCTGGTGGGGCTGCTGCTGGAGGTGCTGCTGGAGTGGGTGCTCCTGCCGGGGCTGCTGGTGCTGTTCCTGCTGTTTCTAGCGTTGCCGCGCGGCCCCGACCGTACTTCGTTCCGCTCCTGCAGCAGGTTCTTGGTCTTACACCTCCTCCTCCTCCCTTAGAGGGTCCGCAGCCTGTCCGGTCACAGCCACAGCTACAGCCTGCCTCCCCTTTGCCTGCTCCTCCTCCCTACGCTGGTCCGACTGGAGGTCTTACTGAGCGTCGTGAGCCTGCGTCTCGTCCTGTGTCGCCTGTTCGTACTGGGCGCGCTAGTGGTCGCGGGTCGCGTCAGCCTCCTCCTCCTGTCCCTGGCACGCACCGGATGTCACTGCGTCCGTCCACTGCTCCTCTGCGTGCCCCTTTGCCTTCTCCTCCTGAGTCCTCTCTTCCTGCGCTTGCCGACCCTGAGTCGGACTCTCTTCGTGCTGCCAGTCCTGTGAAAGGAATGAACAGGAATGAATTGACTAAGTCAGAGTTGGGTACAAATACAACCCTAGCAAACTGTACCCCATATGTGCTACCCCACTATAGCCTACAAACATGCATCGCTATAATAATATGACACACCCCATATAGGCAAAGTGGGGGAGAACAAGGGGTCACAAGACCAGTCAAGCAAAGCAAGCAAGGCTCAGGGTGGATCACAAAGTCACCACACAGTCCGAGCACAGAGCAAGGCCAGAGGCCAGTTCACATGCAGGAGTACAGACATATATATAAACTAGACAAGCAAGAGCAGGTATATATATGTCAAAGTACAAGTAAAGTCAAGAGAGAGCAAGTGAGGCAAGACAGGTACAAGACCCAGCCTGGGTACAAAAGCGCTGATGGTCGCAAGGCGCAAGTGCCTTGGTGAACACATCAGCAGTGTTGGCCTCAGAGGCCACGTAAGCAAGTCGCAACTGACCACGCTGCTGCAGCTCACGAGCAAGGAAGTAGCGGAGAGCAATGTGCTTCGTTCTGTGCTCCAAGCGCTGCTCTCGACACAAGGCCAACATGGCCTTGTTGTCTACGTACAGCACTGGAGGAGAACGAGGCAGCTCTCCAAGGTCAGTCAGCAGGTAGGTGAGCCAGCGAAGCTCCTGTGCAGCCATGGCCCCGGCGTAGATCTCAGCCTCACAACTGGAGCCGAGAACCGAAGACGAGCGAGTAGACCGCCACGAGACAGAGCCGGAACCAAGGCTGAAGGTGTAACCCTGTGACGACCGCTGCGTAGCCTGGTCGTCAGCCCAAGAAGCGTCTGCGTGCCCAGTAAGGACCACTGGACTCCGCCCTCCAAGCACTAGCCCCATGCCCGACGTACTGCACAGGTAGCGCAATACCCTCTTCGCTGCAGCCATGTGCTCTGATCGCTGTCTCCCAGGAGCAACATAGCGTGCAAGGATGCTCAGAGGGTATGCAAGGTCAGGTCGTGTGCAGGTCATCAGGTACATGAGGCAGCCAACAAGCTCTGCATACGGACCACTCGACTCTACGGACTCATCCGAAGGCAGAGCTGAGAGTGAGTGGCGAGTAGGCAGAGGAGTGGCCTGAGGCGAGGAGTACGTGAAGCCGAAGCGCTGAAGGACCTGCTGCACCATGTGTGACTGAGTCAGGGTTCTGGTGCGGCGTGCTCTGTCCCGAGTGATCTGCAAGCCAAGGTAGCTGCGCAGTTCACCCAGGTCTGTGCACGTGTGTCTCTTCAGCAGCTCGGACTTCACGTAGGCAAGTCCAGCAGTGTCCGCTGTGGCAAAGACCAAGTCGTCGACGTACACGAGGATGTAGAACGGCGGCAGGGAAGTGTCGGTGCGAAGAAACAGCGACGGGTCAGCAGTAGAAGGAGCAAACCCAAGAGCCGCAAGCGTAGTCCTCAGTGTGTCGTGCCACTCACGCGGTGCCTGGCGGAGACCGTAGACTGGCCGTCGGAGGCTCCACTGGGTGCCAGGAGGGAAAGTCCCAGTGAAGCCAGGCGGACGGCGCAGCCAGATCTCCTCGTGCAGGCTACCCTGCAGGAACGCAGTGCTGAAGTCGAGAGAGTGAAGCTCGTAGGTCGCGCTGAGCGGCAATGTGCAGCAGCACCCGAAGAGTGGTCATCTTCGGGGTGGGAGAGAAGGTCTGAAAGTAGTCAACTCCCTGCCGCTGACTGAAGCCACGAGCCACGTAACGCGCCTTGAAGACAGGCGGCGAGCCCGGCGGGCCGCTTCACCCTGAAGATCCACATGCCACTGACGATGTTCGCCCCAGGAGGGGGAACCGCGTCAACGTAGGTGCCTGTGGACTTCCAGGAAGCCATCTCTGCATCCATAGCTGCCTGCCACTGAGAGGAGTAGGGACCCTCTACGGCCTCCGCGTAAGAACGCGGAGTCGGGATGTCTAGTGCATCCGGGTCTCCCTCAGGGGCTAGCAGTACAGACGCGAGACGAGGTGAAGCAGCGGCTAGACACTGGAACTCCTCCTGCCTGTCCTCTAGGACGTCCGTGCCAAGGGCACACTCACCCCCGACGGACGGAGGACAGGCGGAGTCTGACTCAGCGACAAGACGAGCAGCGTAGTCTAGACGACAGCGCGCAGCAAAGTCGACAAGCTCAGTGACAAGGGCAGACGCAGCAGACGACTCGAAGGAAGGGTCAGTGACAGCAGTAGCAAGGAGACGCGTGACAGTAGGACTGGCAGCACGAAGAGAGTCCGACTCCGGGTCGGCAAGAGCAGGAAGAGAGGAAGCAGGAGGAGAAGGCAAAGGGGCACGCAGAGGAGCAATGGACGGACGCAGTGACATCCGGTGCGTGCCAGGGACAGGAGGAGGACGCTGACGCGACCCGCGACCACTAGCGCGCTCAGTACGAACAGGCGACACAGGACGAGACGCAGGCTCACGACGCTCAGTAAGGCCTCCAGTCGGACCAGCGTAGGGAGAAGGAGCAGGCAAAGGGGAGGCAGGCTCTAGCTGTGGCTGTGACCGGACAGGCTGCGGACCCTCTAAGGGAGGAGGAGGAGGAGCAAGACCAAGAACCTGCTGCAGGAGCGGAACGAAGTACGGTCGAGACCGCGCGGCGACGCCAGAAACAGCAGGAACAGAACCAGCAGCTCCGGCCGGAGCACCCACTCCAGCAGCACCTCCAGCAGAACCACCAGAAGCTCCAGAACCTCCAGCAGCAGCACCAGGAGCACCGTCAGTCGGACCACCAACCGCAGGCTCAGCGCCAACGTCCTCAGCAGGACCAGCTCCAGGAGAACCCTCAGACCCAGCAGCTCCAGCACCCACAGGACGAGCACCGCCAGGTCGCGTGGCAGCAGCGCCCTCCGCAGCCGAAGAACCACCAGCACCAGCGGCACGCCTCCAGCGCCGGGCAAACCACTCACGCAGCTCCTGTGGAGAGAGCGGCTCCCGGCGAGACGAAGCACCCCCAGGCACAGCACCTCCAGGCTCGGCACCTCCAGGCTCAGCACCCCCAGGCTCAGCACCCCCAGGCTCAGTACCCCCAGACACAGCACCCCCAGGCACAGCACCCCCAGGCTCAGCACCCCCAGGCACAGCACCCCCAGGCTCAGCACCCCCAGGCCCAGCACCCCCAGACTCCGCACCCCCAGGCTCAGCACCCCCAGGCTCAGCACCCCTAGACTCCGCACCCCCAGGCTCAGCTCCCGCAGCAGCACCGGAGTCACCAGTGACCTCGACAGGCTCGACCGCGTCTACCTGAGACACACCTGAAGGGGCAGGACCCAGAGGGGGGAGGGGGACTACTGGGGGGGGGACCTGGTACCAAGAAGAGCGGGGGTGGGGGGAGGGACGGAGTGCGGTAGGGGAAGAGGCGGTAGTAGGGTACCGACTCATCGAACGTGACGTCCTGGGAGGACAGAACACGTCGAGAGGTGGGGTGGTAAAACTGCCACCCAGGGGCGTCGGGGGGGAACCCGAGGAAGACGCAGGGAGAAGCACGAGGGGACAGCTTGTCCGCAGACAGGTCGCGAACAAACGCCCGAGATCCCCAGACCCGGAACGCCGACGCATCGCCAACCTTCCCCGTCCACAACAGAGCTGGGGAGGTCTCCGGTCGAGAGACCCTGGGGTGGAGGTTGATCTGGTGCGCAGCGTACCTGACCGCAAACGGCCACAGAAAATGGGGAGCAGCCGCATGCATCATGGACGTACGAGCGACGTCCATGACCATGCCAATGCGGCGCTCAGCGATCCCATTCTGCTGTGGTGAGTCCGGAAGCGTGAAGGTCTGACGGATGCCTCGCACACGACAGTAGGCACTCAGGAGGGCAGAGGAGAACTCTCCGCCTCTGTCCGAGTGCAGACGCAAGACAGGGAAGTCAGAGCCAAAGCTTCTCCGAAGCTGAAGACGAGCTGCGCGGATCCAGTCGATCAACACCTGAGTGACCTCACCCTTGCTGCGCAAGGGGAAGACTGTGGTGTAACGCGAGTAGTCGTCAACCACCAGCAGGAAGTAGCGCTCCTGACCCTGTCCACGGACGCGGGCTGGGCCCCACACGTCCATGTGAAGCGTCTGCAACGGGGCCTCTGTCGGAGGAAACTGGGAGGAGTGAGGGGCAGCACGCTGGCGCCCCTCGACACAGGGGACACAGGCAGGGCCAGGGCCCGGAGGAAGGGGAGGGAGGGACCGGGGAAGACCAGACACAAGGACCCGCGAGGCCATGCCTCTGAGCCAAAGCAGAGAGGGGTGGCTAAGGCGGTGGTGCCAGAGGAGGGTCTCGTGAGACAGACGACGACACGAACAAGGGGCAGACTCAGGACCAGACCTGGACGCTGCAGCAAACACCTGACCAGACGAAGGGGCCCTACCAGACGCAGTACCTGGAGGAGAAGCAGTGGTCAGTGTGTACAGGCTCGACCCCGGCCGACGTGTAAACGTAGCCAGGTGGCGACCTGTATCCGCCTCCGTACAGTGGGTCACCCGCTGACGAGCAGGGGTGAACTGGTGGACACCTGCATCCTGGAGGTCAGCACCACTCACCAAGTTCGTCGAGAACGAGGGGAGGTAGAGACCAGTCAGGGTGCCAGAGGGGGCCGCCGGACACGGGAGGACAGTGGAGAAGCGAGACAGGACAGGCCCCCCAGAGGGGTCCGCCAGGGACACCGCAACAGGCCGACTCAGCGGCGTGAGAGTGGTGCGGGTCCCTAAAGAAGGAGCGAGACGCTCCAGAGTCAAGGGTGAAGGTGTGAGAGGCCGAAGCCGACACAGTACCTGAGAGGGCGGACTCACCAGTACCTGAAAGCACAGACGCACTGGCACCTAGAGCAGCAGCCTCACTAGTACCTGACGCGGCAGTACCAATGCCCGGGTCGGGCGGGAAACACCGGTAACAGTCATCCTCATCACTACAGTCACAGCATACATAGCAGAGAGAATAGCATCAAAATCAAGATCATAAATAGCTACACCAGCCCTAGACAGCTCTCCCCAGCGGGGGATTTCAGCGGCCTCCGGAAACTGCTGACGCCAGGCGTCGGTCAGGCGGCCAAAGCAGCGACGGGCTGTGTGGGCGCCTCCACACCTCTCCCCTGCACGGTCACCAGTGCGAAGAACGTAGGGGCAGGGACCAAGCGCACCACCGCGCTGACGCTGCAAGTACCACTCACGGAGCTGCTGAGGGCCGGGGACGGTGCGAGAGCGCTGCTGCTGGTGCGGCTGCTGCTGCGGCTGCTGCTGCTGCTGCTGCTGGCGCTGACCACCCCCAGAGCTGCTCCGCTGGGACGAGCCACTCCGACCCCCTCCTCCACCGCCACCCCCGCCTCCACCGCCACCCCCGTCGCCACCGCCACCTCCCCCACCAGGACCGTCGCTCCCACCGCTCCCACCGCCTCCTCCGCTACCACCTCCGCCGCCACCTCCGCCTCCACCGCCGCCACTACTACCTCCACTCCCGCCACCACCCCCCCCCGCCACCCCCACTCCCCCCTCCACCCCCACCGCCTCCTCCACCGCCCCCTCTGGCTCCACCCGCTCCCTTGCCCCCCTTGCCCTTGCCAGTGCGGCGTCTGCCACTGGGGGCAGACGCCGCGCCGACCGACTCAAAACCAACGAGGTCGGCCGCAGCGGCAGAGGCGACAGAGGGCAGCAGGGGGGAGGGACCACACCCCTCAAAGATGGGGGTGCGAGGGTCACCCCGAGAGGCCCCTACAGCGACAATACTCTTCTCAGCCGCTAGCAGGGACTCCTCAAGGAGGTCGACAGTGAGAGTGGTGGGACAGACAGAGAGAAACTGGTCCCTAACGACACGAAGGGACTCAGGGAGACGGGTGACGAGAAAGTAGAGAGTGATGTACATGGGAGGAGGGTTCGCAGCGCGGAACTCAGCAGGAAGGGCAGCGCGGTAGCGGGTGTCACTAGCGCGGAGGTGGGTAACGAGGTCAGCGACAGTGGGAAAGGAAGCGAGGTCAGGGAAGAGAAACGGTAGCATGAGGCGGCTAAGGGTAGCGGAGGAAGGGGAGGAGTAGCGCGCAACTACAGCGTCGTACAAGGCCTGAGCGGTCTTGCATTGACTAAAGTGGGCACGCTCAGAGGAAGGGAGGTGGCGACGCACAGCAAGACGTGCAGCAGCATCGCGGGTCGCCCACTTGGAGCGAACGGCAGAGTCAGCATCAGCAGGCGGGGCAGGGACAGCGCCAGAGACAAAGTCAAAGAGAGAGACCTCATCTACCGCATCACACAGTAAGTACAGCTGCAGGTCCTCGATCCAGACGGCAAAGTCAATGGCCCTCCCCTCAGCGTCAAAAGTGAGAACATTGGGGGTGGCCATGGCAGCAGCTGAAAGTCTCACCGGGATGGGAGAGTCGGGTAGGTCAGCAGCAGGCGGCTCGGGCTGCTCGGGCGGCTCGGGCGGCTCGGGCGGCTCGGGCGACTCGGGCGGCTCGGGCGGCTCGGGCGGCTCGGGCGGCTCAGGTACCGGGCGGCTCGGCTGCTGCTGGGCGGCTCGGCTGCTGCAGGGCGGCTCGGCTGCTGTTGGGCGGCTCGGCTGCTGCTGGGCGGCTCGGCTGCAGTGTAGTGGCGGGGCCGGGACAAGGGACGGCGGGGCCGTCAGGGTGCAGCGGTGGGGCCGAGACAGGGGACGGCGGGGCCGTCAGGGTGCAGTGGCGGAGCCGGGACAGGCGCAGTGGCGGGGCCGCAGGGCGCAGCGGCGGGCCGTCAGGATGCAGCGGAGGGCCGCTGGAAGCACCCGCGGCTGAGCAGGCTGCGGGGCCGCGTCGTAGGAGGCGGCAGGGCCGCGGCTGAGCAGGCGGCAGAGGCCGCGTCGTAGAGGGCGGCGGGGCCGCGGCTGAGCAGGCGGCGGAGGCCGCGTCGTAGCGGGCGGCGGGGTCGCGGCTGAGCAGGCGGCGGAGGCCGCGGCGTCTGCAGGCGGCGGAGGCCGCGTCGTAGAGGGCGGCGGGGCCGCGGCTGAGCAGGCGGCGGGGCCGCGTCTTAGCAGGCGGCGGGGCCGCGTCTTAGCAGGCGGCGGGGCCGCATCCGAGTAGGCGGCGGGGCCGCGACTGGGTGGCGGGGCCGCGTCTTAGTGGCGGGGCCGCGACTTAGTGGCGGGGCCGCGACGTAAGGGCGGGGCCGCGACGTAAGGGCGGGGCCGCGACTGGACGGCGGGGCCGCGAACGAAGGGCGGCGGGGCCGCAGGGGAAGGGCGACTCGGGGGGGTCGCTAAAAAAAAAAAGGATCGCGCGCTTCGGTGGGCCCTAGGCGAAGTTCCCACAGGGAACCCGCTCTATACCATGTGAAAGGAATGAACAGGAATGAATTGACTAAGTCAGAGTTGGGTACAAATACAACCCTAGCAAACTGTACCCCATATGTGCTACCCCACTATAGCCTACAAACATGCATCAGCTATAATAATCTGACAAGTCCTACTGTCACGCGTCTCCTGGCTACTGCTGTCACTGACCCCTCCTTCGAGTCGTCTGCTGCGTCTGCCCTTGTCACTGAGCTTGTCGACTTTGCTGCGCGCTGTCGTCTAGACTACGCTGCTCGTCTTGTCACTGAGTCTGAGTCCGCCTGTCCTCCGTCCGTCGGGGGTGAGTGTGCCCTTGGCACGGACGTCCTTGCGGACAGGCAGGAGGAGTTCCAGTGTCTGGCCGCCGCTTCACCTCGTCTCGCGTCTGTACTGCTAGCCCCTGAGGAAGACCCGGATGCACGAGACATCCCAACTCCGCGCTCTTACGCGGAGGCGATAGAGGGTCCCTACTCCTCTCAGTGGCAGGCAGCTATGGATGCAGAGATGGCTTCCTGGAAGTCCACAGGCACCTACGTTGACGCTGTTCCCCCTCCTGGGGCGAACATCGTCAGTGGCATGTGGATTTTCAGGGTGAAGCGGCCGCCGGGTTCTCCGCCTGTCTTCAAGGCGCGTTACGTGGCTCGTGGCTTCAGTCAGCGGCAGGGGGTTGACTACTTTCAGACCTTCTCCCCCACCCCGAAGATGACCACTCTTCGGGTTCTGCTGCACGTTGCTGCTCACCGTGACTACGAGCTGCACTCTCTCGACTTCAGCACAGCTTTCTTGCAGGGCAGCCTGCACGAGGAGATCTGGCTGCGTCGCCCACCTGGCTTCACTGGGTCTTTCCCTCCTGGTACCCAGTGGAGTCTCCGGCGTCCAGTCTACGGTCTCCGCCAGGCGCCACGTGAGTGGCACGACACACTGAGGACTACGCTTGCGGCACTTGGGTTTGCTCCTTCTACTGCCGACCCGTCGCTGTTTCTGCGCACCGACACCTCTCTGCCGCCGTTCTACATCCTCGTGTACGTCGACGACTTGGTCTTTGCCACTGCTGACACTGCTGGACTCGCCTACGTGAAGTCCGAGCTGCAGAAGAGACACACGTGCACAGACCTGGGTGAACTGCGCAGCTACCTTGGCTTGCAGATCACCCGGGACAGAGCACGCCGCACCATTACCCTGACTCAGTCACACATGGTGCAGCAGGTCCTTCAGCGCTTCGGCTTCACGTACTCCTCGCCTCAGGCCACTCCTCTGCCTACTCGCCACTTGCTCTCAGCTCTGCCTTTGGATGAGTCCGTAGAGTCGAGTGGCCCGTTTGCAGAGCTTGTTGGCTGCCTCATGTACCTGATGACCTGCACACGACCTGACCTCGCATACCCTCTTAGCATTCTCGCACGCTTTGTTGCTCCTGGGAGACACCGACCAGAGCACATGGCTGCAGCGAAGAGGGTGTTGCGCTACTTGTGCAGTACGTCGGGCATGGGGCTAGTGCTTGGAGGGCGCAGTCCAGTGGTCCTCACTGGGCACGCAGACGCTTCTTGGGCTGACGACCAGGCTACGCAGCGGTCGTCACAGGGTTACACCTTCAGCCTTGGTTCCGGCTCTGTCTCGTGGCGGGCTACCCGCTCGTCTTCTGTTCTCGGCTCCAGTTGTGAGGCTGAGATCTACGCTGGGGCTATGGCTGCACAGGAGTTACGCTGGCTCACCTACCTGCTGACCGACCTTGGAGAGCAGCCTCGTTCTCCTCCAGTCCTGTACGTAGACAACAAGGCCATGCTGGCCTTGTGTCGAGAGCAGCGACTGGAGCACAGAACGAAGCACATTGCTCTCCGCTACTTTCTTGCTCGTGAGCTACAGCAGCGTGGACAGCTGCGACTTGCGTACGTGGCCTCTGAGGCCAACACTGCTGATGTCTTCACCAAGGCACTTGCGCCTTGTGATCATCAGCGTTGCTGCACGCAGTTGGGTCTTGTGCCTGTTTTGCCTCACTTGCTCTCCTCTTGACCTTGCTTGTACCTTCGCATATATATACTCTTGCTCTTGCTTGCTTGACTCTTGTATACCTCTGTATATGATCTTGCATGTGAACTGGCCGTGTGGCCTTTGAACTTGTGCTCGGAATGCGTGGTGACTTTGTGATCCACCCTGAGCTTTGCTTTGCTTTGCTTGACTGGTCTTGTGACCCCTTGTTCTCCCCCACTTTGCCTATGGGGGTGTGTCAGAACATATAGCTTACTTGTTTCTGTAGGCTATAGTGGGGTATCCCATAGGGGGTACAACCCAATTAGGGTTTCATATTTGTACTCACTTCGTTCATAGTCATCCCATTCTCGTTCAATTCTTCTCATGTTCTTCATTTTTTGCACACGCTAGGCCCTTGCTCTTGCTATTTTGCACTCGCTAGGCTCTTTTTCTTGCAATTTTGCACACGCTAGGCCCTTGTTCTTGCAATTTTGCACACGCTAGGCCCTTGCTCTTGCTATTTTGCACACGCTAGGCCCTTGTTCTTTTTATTTTGCACGCGCTAGGCCCTTGTTCTTGCTATTTTGCACACGCTATGCCCTTGTTCTTTTTATTTTGCACACGCTAGGCCCTTGTTCTTGCATTTTTGCACATGCTAGACCCTTGTTATTTTCATTTTGCACACCCTAGGACATAGTTCTTGCA